CGGGGGTTGACCAATGAATTTTTGAGAAATTTTCACCAGAAGCAGACCACCCCTAAAATGCAAAAAAGTCCCTGTCCAGAAAAGCAGCCATTTTGAAAAACCATCCCTCTGCAAAATGGCTCAAATAGTGCCACTTTCGGACCCGATTGCATCCAAATTGCTCAGAATTGGAAGCCCCGAGTCTGGCCCAGAGGTTCAGTACCATATTTCTTCAATTCCTCAGTTCCATGGCTCTCAGGACCCTCTATTATAGAATATTTGAGTGTATAACTTTTATTAATGAGCTTGGCGGACATATTTCTGGCTTAAATACGAGGATGCACCCTTCGTTGCCTGCCCCGCTCGATTGCCCCTGTGCGCGGTCGCCTAAGTTCAGCTCTTTTTAACCCCTTTTTGCCAACTTGAACGATCGTAGGCGCATGACGATATTGCTTTTTTACCTTGTTAATGTACATTATATTATGTGTCGCGTATCGGCCTTCGTATGTATCAATTGACACGCGGTAGCGGGCGTGCAATGGTCAAAACTCCGCTTTAAATTGGCCAAAATTCAAGGCCATTGTTGATTGTACCGTGCACATGCGTAGGAGCTGGTTGGATCTAGTGTAATTCTTTAAGGCAGAGGTAAAATGAGTGTTTTACCAGCATCACCAGAGGTAAAATCATGCTGTTTTGTCACATTGTTCTCAGCTTAATGTCTCACTCGTACGCGCTTACGAACGGAGCGGGTACCTCCAGAACCGTGGCCGGTTCCGAAGTCCGCCGCCCTCTTGTGCTCCCTCGGAGCGCAGTGGACATCAAATCCGATTGTTCTGGGGGTATGGAGCGGGATAGTCTTTTTTTTTTCTTTTTTTAAATGGGGAGGTCGTCCTTTTTCACATATTTTGCAAACGAAATTCATGTATGATGATATTAATGATTGAGCCTCAAATTTGACGGCAATCTTGAGTTTGTGGGATTTTATTTTTGTTTCCACTACACTAGTCTATAAGTTCCTATAGCAGGTATAGGGCCTATTTGAAAACATTTTGGCTAATTTTGACTTGAAATAGGATAAATTCAAGGATTTATTTTGGATGAGGCACATTTGCTCTAAACTTCATTTTTGTATATTCAGGAGTTGCTGATTTCTATCCGGAGCTTTGTGAAAGGAAGTCATGCTCGGTCGGGCCACAAGTTGTCCAGTGAGGAGCATGCTCGGTGCGCTCTGCACTTGCTGCGCACGCTGCCGGCTGCACGCACGGCCGTCCTAGAACACCTGTGTCACGTGTTTGACGAAAGCGTCAACTCCTATCTGTTTGAGCTTGAGGGAGAAGGTGTGTTGGGCTTCCTTTGGAAAGATGAGTTGTAAGAGTGGTGGCAGTGTTGATCATTTGATCTACACCATCGCTCGATTGTGCTGCACACAGTCTGTCTGTCCATCATCTTTTAGAAAAAAAAATTAAACCCACGGATGATTGTTTTGAAAAGTGAAAGTAAGGATTGGCGGATAAAATAAGCAGCGCATTGGTCGACATAGTGGATATCCACTGATCCACTGATCATGCCCAGTAACAGTATGTGTTTAAAAAACATCAGGGTTAAAAAAAAGGAATGACCATACACCTCTTGTTGTTTGACTCCGCCCCTCCCCAGCACCCCGTAAACCCCTGTCTATCCCATCAGGGAATTTATGCCTTTGTTTAAATATTGTTAAAATCAAGCTGTGTTTTGTGGGTCACCTGTTTTGGGCAATGTATGAAGCATCAGCATCCAATGATGGAAGTTTGATTTCCAACAGATTACTCTTGAAACTTGTTTTCTTTTGTTTGCAGCCAGCACTGGTCTTAATTTGGATGGAGTGATACAGGAAATCAATGACGTCCTTTTGAACTTCATCAACAGCAATGCGGCAGCGTGGTCCCCCCTCATATCTGCAGTAAGAACAGAGTTTTATTCATGACTAACGTATGTGAACAACTAATTTTGATTGGCTATCAAGTTGTCACCTCCCAAATGAAGAACAATTATTGCTCTACCATCTTGAATCAATTAAGATCCTACAAGACTAGCTGGTAAATTTTGAAGGGTTAATATCCTTCAAAATCCATAAGGAAGTTTTTGGTGTTGCAAGATTGAGGTAGAGTCTAATATTACTTTACATTGGACTCAATACTTCTTAAACTTAATCTGTGAAGAATCTTTGAATGGTTTTCAAGACATTGGAGGATTTAGAGCCTTTGAAAGATTCCTTTCCAACAGTTACCCAAGAACATAGTTAAGGAAAGTGCGATGCTGTAAAGTCTTTGAGTTCATATTATCCAGTTGTTTTTCCATGTGATTTTCATTGGCAGTGGTCCATTGACCTCTTGGGACAAATCAGCAGCACCTATGCTGGCCGAAGAGGAGTCCCCCACCCCTCCAGCCTGAATGAACTCCTCCAACTCTGGATGACTTGTAAAGGTATGTGTAAAATCCCATTGTGTCTTTGAGGGGAGGTCGAGGATTCTATCCTGTTATGGAAAGAATGAATCCTTGAATCCTTTCAAATCCCAATTGACTGTCCAATCGAACCAATAAGAAGATAACCCCCCCCTCATATAACTCTTTATGTTTCTGTATCCTCCGCCCCAGCTACAAGAACACTGATGGATGTGGCCTCGCAGTGCTTCGCAGCGATGGTAGGGACCTGCCCGGACCTGTGTGTTGATGCCTTACTGGACACGTCGGTGCAACACTCACCCCACTTTGACTGGGTGGTCGCTCATATTGGGTCAGGATTACTCCATCATAGGTTGACCTTAGACCCAGAATCCTTCAATATCCTACATTAAAGTAACACAGTATAAATTTACAAATAGACTGTACAAGTCTGATTAGGCAAAAATTAAGCAGTTGAATTTGGGAAAATGCAGGTTAAACTTAATTTCTTATACCTCAGTGTTCAAAATTTCTCAATGTGGTCCCCCCTATGTTTTCGAAGTTGAAATGGCTCAGTGCATGAACTAAAGAGGGCGCTCTTTGGTTTATACAGTAAGAGCAAGTGAAGGGCACTGGAGAGATTTTGTAAGTGTCCTTTCAGTAGGTTAAATTTAAGAATTGGTTCAAACCACGGAAGTTTGTTGGCAAAGGCTATTCAGACTGAAGGTCAAAAACTCTCTGGTCCTCTTCATTTTTGTGTGTGCAGGTCGTGTTTCCCAAACACAATCATCACCCGCGTGCTGTGCTGTGGGCTCAAGGACTTCTGCAACAGCCAATCGCAGGGCCTGGTGGCCCCAGACAAGAAGGTGCCCAAGATGGCATCGGTGGTAGGGATTCTGGGCCACCTGGCGTCACAACATTCCCAGGACATCCGCAAGGCCTTGCTGGAATTGTTCCAGGTGTGTGGTGACATCGTGACACTGTGACATTGTGACAGTGACATTGTGGCAGTGACATTGTGACACTGTGACATTTGACACTGTGGCATTGTGACTCTGTGACATTTGTAACACCTTGACATTGTGGCATGACATTAACTTATGATTTGCTCAGTACTATGTGACAGCAAAAGAGAAAGCAGTCGAATGCTCATTGATGGGTGAGTTTGAGCGAAGACCTTCCATAGACCTCTGGTTGATTTTCCCTGGTCACCTGTGCACATAATTCATCCAGGGTACCAGGCAAACTGACTGGTGGTGAACAAATAGTCCTCGCTCGAACTCACCCAGTACTGAAAATTTCAAAAATGCACTATACTGCTGTAATTGTGCTGTTCAGTTGAACAAATGACATTAACTGTGATGGGGTTCGAGTCTGGCACCTAGAAAACGATGTAGTGGGGCAGCCCCCTATGGTGTTATTCAGTCCCATGTTGGGAATCTACCAGCTTGTCAATTCTGCCATCAGAATTTTGGTTCACAGGTTCAATCCTTCAGTCAATTTTCAAGAAAAGACTTTCAATTGTTCAATTTCATTTTCTTTTTCAAAGTGTAACATTGGTACCTTATGATTTTGTTCCCGTTTTTTTTGTTCCACCAGAAGTTGATTAAGATGGAACTCTCATGTTTTATACGGTGGCTCTTTATGTCTCTTGGTATTTTCTTGTAAGTCTGGCTCCTGCACTCCAACCTGTCTTCTCCCCTTGCATTGTCAGGAGAGCTTGGAGAGTGACGAGGAGCAGCACCTGTTCACCGTCCCATTCCTGCTGCAGTTGGCCACCATGTCGCCCATGTTACTCCGGGTCATCACCACAGACTTTGTTCAAGCATGTGAGCATGAAGCCATGTCCGAATCAAGTGGCTGCGGCTGGGAGAGACACATGTGTCTATGGGGACTATCTGCAGCCGCTAGCCAGTACCTTCCATAGGTGCATGTGTTTCTTTCAACCGCAGCCATAACTTTAGCGCACAGCCCATTTCTCTTGTAGAATGCCAAAGTCACACTGGTACTGCGAATTGAGCTTGCAACATTTTCCTCTAAGAAAGTCATATTATATTTCATATAAAATTCACAACATATCGGGCTGGATATCCCAACACAGAATATGGCAGTTGTTTACAGAAGATTGTGTAGGATTCCAAGAGCTTCTGTTGAGAACAAATGATTAAAAATGTTTGAATGATGGAATTGTTCACTAAACTTGCTGTTTGACATCTTTTTCTTCAGTGACGCCAGATGTTCTGAATCGGCTCTCGGAGCAGTTCCTCAAGTCTTCTCTTCTCCTGCAAGACAAGGACAGTCTGCTGACTCTGGTCATTCACCTGATCTGCTCCTCGGGGAGCGGCGCCTTCAAGCTGCTTCGATTCCTGCTGGACAGGGCTTGCGATGGGGGCCAGCAGTCGGGGGTCAACTTGCACGTTCAGAAGACCTGTGCACTGATTCTGGTAGGCTATCGGGGTCTGCGCATGGGCGGAAGAGGGCGGTGTACAGCCTGGTCTTAAGGGGCGAGGGGAGGGCACGCTTAGGTCTCGTTCTGAGCCACAGCTGGTTGAGCAGGGGTGTCTTTCCTGGAATTGTCCTAGTTTTCAGGATTTGGATCAAACCGTCGCTACATTTTGTGTTTTGTGGAAAAAGTGCAAGATCTTGAGATCGCAGTTTGGGGGAGAACACACTTCTTGTTAGCCACCTAAAGCCCCCAAAAGTCACTTTTTTTATTGTTAGTATTTTCACATCTCCTCTATTGGATAGTTTATGGACTTCTCTTTCTCCTCCAATGTTACCCCTGGGTCGAATTGAGAGTGAGAATCAGCTTGGTAGTACACGTCATATCCATAAATTTCTTAATTATATCCATTCTTTTTTTGGGCAGGATCTCTTGGTGTTGGATCTGCAGAGGTCTGTTTACAGCCAGTCGGACAATCTTTCACTCGCTCAGCAGGCTGGGGCATCCTCCGTGCCTGAGACGACCGAAATCCCCTTCCTTACGGAACTACAGAAGCACACCAACACACTGTGCACCGACATACTGACGGCGGGAGACCAGAGGTAATTAACATATTGCCAGAAATCTGGCATACCACCCCAGTGTTTATTTGATGTTTGCAGGGAGTCTAGGGTTTCCAAAAATGTGGAGGAAGAACACGTTGATGAGCAATTGGGTTGGACTACTTTTGACAATTGAGGGCCTTGTTCAACTCCACTGTCTATGTGTATTGATAAATAAGGTGTTTGTGTTGATGCAAATGCCATTTATCTGGTTGACTTGTAAAAATAACAGATTTAGGGAAGATGATTTGACAATTACAACATGTAAAATGTTTGGCAAACATTTTTCACCTAATCATACATACACTGTTGCACTCTTGTTGATGTGAGCATCTATTTTGTCGATAGGTTACCATGGCTACAGAGGCTGCTCGGTCTAATTGGCGTGCACTGTGGTGAGAGTTGTGCAACGGACATTCTAACTTGCATTCTCATCGAGCAGTCCGCAGTGTCCAAGGTTAGTGCGTCCTGCGAGCTTAAATGTATGTCTTTTCTGAAAGTGGGAAGAAAGTTAGACTTTAACCGTATCTGATGAACATGGATGAAACCGAATTTCTTATACGTTTTCTTCCAACACATCTCCATCTGGTTTCTTGATTTCAACAACAAAGTTGAACAGCTGTGGTCATTTAAAAATGTTCTCTCGTTTTTTTTTTTCTGTGCATCTGTTCAGGTGTGTCTATTCACATCCCTGCAAGCGGAGATCGAGGCAGCCTTTCCCAACATCCTGCCCCGGACACTGAACAAGACGATGAACCAGTTACAGCGGCTTCAGGAGTCAGAGGTAAGCATTTTTCATGCAACTTTTCCTCGGATCAGCTGGTTTCCTCAGATCAGCTGATTGCCTCAGATCAGCTGGTTTCCTCAGATCAGCTGATTGCCTCAGATCAGCTGGTTTCCTCAGATCAGCTGGTTTCCTCAGATCAGCTGGTTTCCTCAGATCAGCTGGTTTGCTCAGATCAGCTGCTTGCCTGAGATCAGCTGGTTTCCTCAGATCAGCTGCTTGCCTCAGATCAGCTGGTTTTCTCATTTCTCACTTCACACTCATGCCATTGGAAATTGAAAAACACTGTGCAAAGTCTTGTAAAGATTAGATATTCCTCGGTGTGTTTTTTTGTCAAAGTCCAAGTTGCACGCTTGACAAAAGTCAACTTTGAAAATCTTTAGCAATATTTGAGTACATCAGTACCAGAACTCTACAACTAACATCATAGTTGAATAATCAGCTGCTGAAGCATTGCATTTATGATTTCAACCAAACTTTGACAATTAAGTCAACCCATGTCATTGTACCTAAGGCCTGTCAAATCTCAAAAGAATATTTTACTTGGCACAAATAAAATTGGATCCAGCATTGGATATACGAGGTTATTTAATACAATACAGACCAGTAACAACATTCTTTGTATCAACTTTGCTTTTCTCCAAGACCAACCAGCTTCTCGTCAACCTCACCGAGCTGCTGAAGTGGGAGACAGTCGGCAAGGGGCGGGACACGCCCAGGTCCAGCTTCCGAGCCGCCCTGTTACCCCACCTCCACCCGCTCTCCACCCAGCTGCACCATGCCCGGCTGGCCGTGGCCACCCAGACCCTGGAGCTCCTGCACCTGATTGGTCGGCCTGATCCGGTCACCATGGTGACGCTTGTGGGCGTCGCCCAGTCAACGGCTGAATTTTTCTTCACGGCAATGCACATCAGTCGGGGTTAGTGTTCCTTGAGGAATTAAAAAATTTAGCAGAAATATTTACTTAGACAAAATTGTTTACATTTGGAGGCTAACTATAGCATTTGTGCATGTATAAGTAAATAATAAACATACTTGAGTTTTTTTAGTTTTTGAAAATCTGATCACATCAAAAGGAGTGCGTTCCATTTGCACCCTCTGGAAAGTGAAATAGCAGAAGTAATTACTCAGTGGTTTGAGAGAAACAAGTGCAGCAACGTATCGAGCTCAGGGACACAAGTATCATGATGCATTGTTTAGAGGTTTGTGCCTCTAATTTATCACGATAACCACAAGGCCTTGAATATTGCACCTGCTGCCATCTTTTCACAAGCAGAAGTACTCCAAGATATTTAATCCCATTTCAGAGGGCGACCTTCATGGTTACTGGTGCAAGTTATAACTAGATCTTTTATGGGTGATGCCTTTGCAGATAATTCCAAGAAGCAGAAAATCTTGGATCAGTGTCAGAGCTACCTCTCCTCTTGGTGCCAGCTCCCGATGGGTCAGCAGCTCATACTCAGGACATTGCTGGAAGGCGTCACCAACAAGGTACCTAGGTTTCCCCAAACTCTGTCTGCCTTCAGGCTCCAACTCTGTGAGTTCAGTTCCTTGATCTGGCAAACTGAGACTCAGTCTGGGTATGTTTTATGATTCTGATGTGTAAAATCTTAAAATAGGCTCATAAATGAGTGTTTTATTTGGTTTGAACACTGAAGGCCATTACATGTGGTAAAAGGTTTTAGAACTATGCTTAGAGGATCAAGAGTTTAAATCCAGTAAATTGCCATTTGTTGTGTCCTTGGGCAAGCATCTTTACGTAAATTTGTCTGCCCATATCCAGAAGTCCAGATGCATTTTGACATAGGAGGAGTAAGCTGCCATGGATGGAATTCCATGTAGAGAAAGAGGAATAGTTTTGGTCACTTCATGTCAAAGAGACTAGGGAAATTCATGTGTTGTGTCCTTGGGCAAGCCATTTTACCGAAATTGTCCTGTCTCCATATAGGACTACTGATGTTTTGTAGCATTAGAGAGGAGTAAACTGATGGACTGACATTCCATCTGGAGGTGTAGAAATATTCTATTTGGTTTTTATGCCTAGGAAACCAGAGTTAAATCTAGGCATTGTTTTGGCTCAGGACAGACCTTTGTATCCATGTTTGTTGCCATCGTTTGCAGCAAAATTGTTACTTGTTTGATGGCCGGCCGCGCATCGAGGGCGAGGGAGCCCCCTTACGCGACAAGCCGACCTCACTCCTCAGGGAGAACCAGAAGTTTGCCAATGCCTCCTTCACGCTGCCGGCCAGCAGCTCAGCCGTCTTCCACGCTGGGACCATTGGCCGCGGTCTGAAACCCAGAACAGATCAGGCAGTGACCTCTAAGGTGAGACTTGTAGTCTGGTAGACAGCAGCTCTGTATTCTCATGTCCAAATCAACTGGCCGTGGCTGGGAGCAACATGTTTCTATGTGAAGTGGGTGTAGCCACAAGTCATTGCTTTCCATAAGTACCTATGTTATTGTCAGCCACAGCCACAAAATTGAGACATGGTTTATGTCAGCTTACTATTGGATCTGTGCATCCTTTAGCCCCTAGTGGTGAAAATGGAGAAGTCACTGTCACACGTGGACACTCGTGTCCTTCATATCAGTAGCATTTATGAGAACTATCTTGTTCTAGTTGGTCCTAGAAGTCAACATGAAGACTGCTGTGTGGCTTGACGTGTTCGTAGTCAGTCAAACTTTGGAACTGCGTTTGAGAGGTCTGAAGTTCTTGTCCAACTTCAGTCAAATCTGTACCTGTCCTGTCATTATTTCAGCTCCAGGATTAATGTGAGTTGGCAGAAAGTGCTATTTGGCTCAATATTTTTAATAGTCAGCTGAACACTGGAACTGCTGTCCAGGGGTCTGAGGTTCCCGTCCCACTTCAGTCAAACCCATTTTTTCTCATCCCACTGTTAGTATTCCGGGAATAATGTGAAATAGTGCTTCTGAGCCAAAATGTTTGAAATTTGGTCAATTGAACACTGGAACTGCTGTTTTGTTGTCTGAAGTTCTTACTCCACTTCAGTCAAAATAATTCTGTCGTCCTTTTTCCCAATGTTTCAATCTGTCCATCCCAGGAGGAGATTTTGGCAAACTGCCAGTATTTTCTGGACACTCTCCACCTCTGCTGTAGTGGCCGTGACCCCTCCCCGCCCTCCCCTGTCGTCAGCCTCCAGCCGGTGGACGAGAAGGCAGCTAAGACCCTGGCCACATTGTTGGTGGAGCTAGCCTGCCCTGACGTGACTCACACGGGGGTGGCGTGGCCCGAAGAGGAACACATGAAGTTGACAGTTGAAAGGTATGCATAAGTTTTGCTTTGTATCTATTGCTTGTTATTATTTATTACCAAATGGACACTTTTTTAGTGTTGTATTCAAGTTCAGTCACAAATTCAGTCACGAGTCCTTTCACAAGTCCCTTCACAAGTTCAGTCACAGGTCCCTTCACAAGTTCAGTCACAGGTCCCTTCACAAGTTCAGTCACAAGTCCCTTCACAAGTCCCTTCACAAGTCCCTTCACAAGTTCAGTCACAAGTCCCTTCACAAGTCCCTTCACAAGTTCAGTCACAAGTCCCTTCACAAGTCCCTTCACAAGTTCAGTCACAAGTCCCTTCACAAGTTCAGTCACAAGTCCCTTCACAAGTTCAGTTACAAGTCCCTTCACAAGTCCAT